GTTGCAATGGTCGCGATGACATGCATCAGTCGGTCGGCATGTCACTTCTGATATTATTATACTGCATTTTTTCTTCGCTTTTATCGTTTCTTTTCGACGTCGGACATCTTGCCCGACATGCCACATCGCATCATCTCCTAGATTGAATCGGATCAAATGTCGAAAAAAAACGACACGTATATTATAATAAAAATCGAAATCTCCCGGGTGTTCCCGTGCATCAAGAGTCTTCGATTCGATGCGAACTGATATATGCATAATAAACGCATATGTACTCAGCTTACCGTGGGCCGAATTTGACACGAACGCGGACGAGGGCAATATTCAGAGGCATCATATTAATAATTGTATGGAAATTATTGCAGAAATAGAAAAAAATGTTGGAGCATTTTACTATGATTTTTTAGAACTAATTTTAAATAGAACACCACCCCACGCAAATCCGGAATTATTAAATTGTTACAGTGATCAGTGTGCTCAAAATACAGCACATATGTGGGATAAAGTGAGATCTGATTAGATAAAGACTGGATTAACGCGGATTTTCTATAATCTAGAAATGCGAAAGAGGCGCGATATCAATCCTAACGCGTTAGAAAAATCTACACCTTTGTCTAACAAGAATGTTATTTATAGTTATATGTATAATAATTACTTTGCACTAAATACGCAATTTTTTATTCCAAAATACATCTAAACCTATAAAAAATACATACCAACTATCATCATACCCTCGAGACTAGCCGAGATTACTCGATAAAAACTATGTTTGTTGTACATATATAGTATATGAATTACCAGAACCAAATGCATCAAAAACTTATCTATTGCAGCGGCATTTTCACTAAATGAAATTTTGAGGACTTAATTTGTAAAATATAAATGCTTTTCCATATTGTTTGAACAGCAATCAGAAATTATTAGTCATAAAACCTGTTGTGGTGATTTGACCTAATACAACGTCGGTTTTACAGATGGCAACCCAAACAGTTGCCTCTGTGTAAAAATTTTTATTATTACAATTTCTATAATAGGTGTATATTTATTGATGCAGAAATGCCGAATGAGAAGTATTTTTACTTGGAATCGTTTTGCTATCTATATTTTCAAGTTAAATCCGATGTCACTATTGCTTGACATCAGGATGCTCTAAAATCCTATCGCCCTAGCCGCTTATCTAAGAGCGATCCCTTAAATATATATGTTTAATGAGGATTGTATATTTAAACTTTCATATAAAAATATTAACCTTTTGGACTTTTAATTTTATTAAAATGAATTTTATTAAATACTTGATATCTTTGCTATTTTCTAATCAATGCTAACAAAAGTTTATTAAAGAGATGGAAAATTAATTCACCTTTGGGACGTGTAAAGAATGATCTCGTCCTTTGATGAAGTTTTTGTGATGCACTGGTTTGTATTACAAATATACAATTTGAATTCACACATATTCACAGCACCTGTGATATATAGACAATCTTTTAAATTCCATAAAAAGGGAAGTAATCAGGCGTGTAAAAGCAGGCTGGCTGGACATAATAATAGCTTAACAAGAAAATTTTTAGATTAAATTCATAGCAAAACAATCGAAACAACTTATTTTTTAAATCTACTAATAAGTAAAAATCCATCTTTCTCTTTTGTACTATTATTACTGGAATAAAGGTACAGCTGCATTACTAGCCAATCTAGCCATAGTTCTTAAATTCATACTTGTTGTACTTTGTAATAATTGATTTAATGCCTTGTGTCGATAGGTAGCAAATACAAAAATTCAAATTCTCTAAAAGTTTTAAATATTACCTATCTAATACTTCACCAAATGTCTCACTATATATGAGAGACACTACACCAAAAGATTAAAAAGGAAAACGCCTTTGGACTTAACTGGCATTCCAAGTCAATTTAGATCATAATCTTTTCTTAAATTAGGAGAGATTGCAACTGTGCACTCTCTCAAGCATTCAATAGTTCATTTTGCAAACAGCTTCTTTGCTATTTTGTTATTCATAAAATTTACCTAATGTCCATTGGACAGATGTAAATTATGTCCAAAATAAAAAAGAATAAAAACATAAAATATGAGAGACAAACTTTTATACAATTTGATGTTGATTTGATATCAAAGTTTTAACAATTTTGTAGATCTTAAAAATATTTGTCTATAAAAATATGTTGTTAATATTTAAAGTTAGTTAAGCAGGTCAAATAACCTTAATTTCCAAATAATTTCTAAAGATGTAACTTATCGTCTCCTGAATTATTTCCAAACACGAGTCTGTCTTAGACACTGTTCCTCAGAGGATCGTGGAACGCAGTTATAACATGAAAACAGTCTCTTTCATGTGTTTTATGTACAAGAGTAGAAGTAGGTAGAGACGCAGGTCCTGGCTGTGACGATGAAGTTGCATATAACATGTTCAACCGTTTATTAAACCAAGTGTAATGCGATGTAATTATCTCGGATAGCTCTCGGAAACTCGCGACTAATCTAGTTATTCGCGTAGATGAAAGTATGCATGCGGAGCAAACATCTAACTACGTGAATGCAAATACCTTTTCTATAGGTATTTCAAACTAATATATATACACATGATTATAAATATATTAACGCTCTACGTATATACTTCTATCCGTTGACCCAAATAAAAAAAAAAAATTGAATTCAGTACATATTTTTTTAGGTACAGTAATGATAAAAACTTTAAAAAAGCGAAATAATATTTCGAATGCATTTCGATAACATTGCAACATGAAAGAGGTAAAGCTTAACAGATTCACTTCTAAACATAAGTTGCTTATACTTGTCAATGTGCTCAACTTGTTAATTCGTTTAATATAAAATATAATACATAAACCGTTTCTGGTCATGTTAGCTGAACATTCAACAAAAAAATGTACCAAAATGGAATAAGTAAGACTATTTCTGTTTGAAATAAGTACAGTACACAATTTCATTTACATATCTTCTTTAACTAAAAACATTACTCTGAAGTGCAAGCAAAGCGAACGCACATGATGCGTTCGGCGCCTCGTTATTGACAACGATCCCACGCAACATTTACATGCGCAGCAATGAATGTGTTTAAACATCTTACAATATTCTAATTATTTATGAAAAATGCCAGATATTTATATAGGTGTTTACAACTCATTCAAGAAATAGCCGAACACTATTAGTAACAATAGTTTTAGGAAAATCGTACTTATCAATAAATGTCAATATTTTTTTCAAAAGAAACACCTAATATTTTGTTATGCTTAAAAATGTAGCCGTAGCATTCGCGTACTTATAAGTGTTTAATATATGCCGAATATAAAAATATTTTTTTTAATATGGTATACAATTTTATTAACTGCAAGAAGTGAATAGATACGCGTATGCACAATGAGTATTCAAAGTGGTCCTTTTAAACCTTAATATTTGTATTGCAAACTCACGATTCGAAAATGTATTATCCCAATATATCTTTATAACCAAATAATAAAATTAATGGATTTTAACATATAATATGGTTTCATATTATTTATAGGTTTTAATTTCTCTATTCATATTTTTTCTATTATTTACTATCAAGTATTTTACCATTTTACAACCCAACACACTTGAGTACAATTTTTTGAAGAGATTCTTTCAAACTCGATCAAATTTTTGAAAATTTTAATTGCATAGTTCAAAAAGTAATCTTAATTTTAAAAAACTTGGGGCAATTGTGTCATTGGTGTTTCGAAGGTAGTTCCAGAAATATTATTTATGATTATGGATCTAAAGTTTAAATGATAAAAATTAATAAAATATAACAATAACCAAAAATGTTCAGTTTCACAACCCTTAGGTTGCATTTAAAAGCTCATAATATTCAATCTAAATAATTTTTTTATTTCAATTTTTTTGATCATAGTTACTATTATTCTGTCGAGTTGACGTTGAGTTCTGGGACACCCTATATATATATATATATATATATATATATATCGTGTTGCAGAGGCTGTTTATAATATTATCTTATTGTTAGATCAACCAACAATCATATCCCTTTTCCGCAAAACCTCCCTAGAACAATTATCAAAATATTTCAAACCATAAACACAAATAATGAAATTGAATATTTTAGGTTGTAATTTGCAAATAACGCAAAGCTGTAACAAACAGGGGTAAAAGCGTTTCGGGAAACATTGTTACTTTGTTGGTGGAACGATTCTGCCATACGCACGCCGATGCCGCGGGCTGAAGAGTTTGTTACAAGCAGATTATAGGGGATTAGGGATAAAAAGACAGTTTGTGTGTACGTTGTAATATTTGCAACGGAAATAAAGTTCCAAGGCTAGTTTTGTTGTAAATTAACAAAAAGGGAATTAACAAAATCTAACTTACAAAACGCACATAATACCTTAAATAACAATTTTATAATAAGTGCAACTTTCGGATGCCTCTTTGATAACATATACGTGAAGTTTGGTTTTATATGTAAAACGCCTGATCGCATAACAAATATATAGGTTTGTAGAGTTTGTTACTACCAACTCATACGAACATAAACTCGTAACACAGCATCATCATAATATTTGTATTATGTCCAAGATTTGGCCCCTTAATCAGTTCAATTCCATGGTTTTTGTTATACCTATTCATCATACACTTCTTTTAAATTATGAAATATATACCAGTGGCTCAGTGAGACGAATATACTAATGAGCAAATATAAATGCGCAAAAGCAGGTTGTCAGTCTGAACAGACAGGCAGGCGAACAGATGGGCACGGACACCACACGTAGATTACCTTAAACTCCATTCAGATCCTTCGAAAGTAAAACCTAATATCCATGAGATTATTATCTGTACGGTTTATATGAATGTGTAATATCCGATTGTTATGAATAAATATAAAATTCAAAATTCATATCAATGGATAGAATTGTATTAGTTTAAGCCCGTTAAGAAATGTTATTGACTGATCACTAATAGAAAAATGAAATCTTGGGTCTGTACGATGCAGGACACAGTGGCGTCAACCAATTGGGGGGCGTGTTCGTGGGGGGCCGTCCCCTCCCCGACTCGACCAGGCAAAAGATAGTAGAACTAGCGCATTCCGGAGCACGGCCCTGCGACATCTCACGAATACTCCAGGTTTCCAACGGCTGCGTCAGCAAAATACTCGGCAGGTAAGTGAGATCTATTGAACTAAAAATTTATATTTTCTCACATTGATGATTAATCTCAATTAATGGAATGGTATGTATTTTTGTTTCCTAGGTATTACGAAACGGGATCGATAAGACCTCGCGCGATAGGCGGTTCAAAGCCGCGAGTTGCAACGTCGGAGGTCGTGTCGAAGATATCACAGTACAAACGTGAATGTCCTAGCATTTTTGCTTGGGAGATACGCGATCGGTTGCTGCAAGATTCAGTCTGCACGAATGATAATATACCCAGCGTGAGTAAACAAATTGTTCTTATACTTTGTTGTAATTTTTTGTTTAATTATCTCCTATACTTGTTGTATCGGTGTGTATTTTTTGTTGAAGTTCAATAATCTTACACATTTTAATAAAAAAACGACTTCAATATAATTAATAGAAAAAAATAATGCAGTGTATATTACAGTTAATAAAAAATATACAATAAAAAACTGCACCAATGATAGTATACCAAGCGTGAGCAAACAAAATATTGATATACTTTGCTGTAATTTTTTATTTCTTATACTTGTTGTATAATGTGTATTTTTTGTTAAAGTTCAATAGCCTAACACATTTTAATAAAAACAAATTTAATATATAAAAAAATATCTATGCAGTGTATTTTTACAATATGTGAAAAATATACAATAAAAATAGCAATTATTATTATGGATCACATTCGTTCATGTTCAAGTTGACGTTAAGTGGACCGCTTTCGGTCGGTACCATAGATTAGTACAAATAACGTTTTGCAATTTGGTGCGAATTTATCTATTTGTCGTTTTTTAAGCATTTATAAAGTATCAAATTAAATAAATTTAGTAAACAATAATCCGTATATTAAAGCATGTATATGACATTAGCTTTTGTATAGTTAGACAAGTCAAGACAAGATACAAAGGTCAAATTTGCCTTCTAGTAGAATTCATACTGTAAACACCAAATCGACTACATCACAACAAATACCACGTATCAAATAAACGATTATCTAACTACGTTTAGTAAAATTTCCAGCTAATTCAGCATTATAGAAATGTTTTTTCACTATTTCTCAAAAATTTGTCTCTTACCCCATTGGCCGGGTAGAAAGAGAGAGCCACGAGGCAAAAGATCTACCATTTTATTTTTAATTCTGAAGAGGCTGTATTGTTTTTTGAAATACAATTATTATGAACTTCTGTTCGAAATACATATTTGCTGCAAGATTTCATTCATGGGCGCATTTTTTAAAAAGATCGCACGAGATAGAACCTTCATTTTGAGATAATGGATTTTTCTATACAAACTTATATTATATAACGTATATCATATCTACGTTTATCTAATTCAGTAACTTTTTTAGTAACACTATTTAATTTTATCCAAATAGAATTGACTTCAAATCTAAAACAACATATCAAAAAAATTTAACATACAACTTCAAACCCTTTCAAAACAACATTTCATACAATGTATGAAATTGCCCATCCGCATTACACTCACAATTTTATCAGTGCTCTGACGGACTGCGTAAAAATATTTCCGGCGCTTGTGTATTTTTCGTCTCGAGTCACGTAGCAAAACGCTTACAGATACCCATAATCTTTATTTCGATGCCAGGCCGTCCTTTTTTCTCTACTCTCCACAGTATCTTTTACTCATACTTACCGGGGAAATTCGTACGGCAGAACCTATTCGGTCCCTTTCAATGGGTGGGTGTCGGATGCGCCGGCTGACTTCCAGACGGTAGATAACACTGTAAGCGCCGAACGAACTCGCAACCGAAGACTCCCTCTCGATAGCGGTTTGTGCTTTCCACTAAGAGGGTAGGAGTGGTCTACACACGATCTGATAAATTGAAACGTAATAAATATGGTTATTTTAATATTTTGTCATGATGGTATTGCTACTTAAATGTCGATATTACAATTGGAGTTAGGTTTTTACAGTGAAACTTTTCTGAATTGTGACGTCGGAAGATTTCTATATTATTTTTAAGAAAATGATGATTGATAATAATTTCTCTTCAGACAATAAAATTGGTCGCTATTGTATCATTAAGCAGTTATTATACTTAATTAATCATTGGGGGAAAAAATTAAACAATTAACCATTTTTATACGGCGTCTACTGACCACGAAACATCGCTCACGCTTGGCTGTGGAGCCATCTGCGGCCGTCAACTAAATTTGCCGCTCGTACCGAAGTGGTAAAGTAAATTTCGACATAAATAACTACAATATTAGTATATAAAGTTTTAAAAAAGTTAATACCTACATATATAATACCTACACGTCAAAAATGTATTGGTATCCTCATTTAATTATTTAATTTATTCTTATTCTTATTAATGTAAAAGAAGTCAATTTTCAAAGATACTAATATAGCCATGTTTTAAACATGAACGTGCAAAGAATTATTACTACGATTAATCTTGCTAATTTAACCCGTGACTACGACTAGACTATTTTTTTTTATTTAAAGTTACATTGTATTTTTTTATTAAATAATAATTTTTACAACTTACAACAAGTAAAGCATTTGAGAGAAATGACGATTTTAAAAAAATACAAATTATCGGACCATTGTCAATGATTAGTCTTTTCTATTTAATTTGTTGATCAATGTAAAAAAAACTTTCTTTTCAATCTGGCCCTGGTATAGTTCTTGCGGAGATTTCTGGCAAGCAAGTTTGAGTGATCCGCAAAACGGCTTATGTACTTGTGCGAGAGAGTGCTTATTTCATATTTGACAGTGCATTTGGCATCATTTAACCAATGCAAAATACAAATTTTATGAGCACAGTTTTTATAAAGATTACAATAAATATAATATATTCATATTCGAGTTGGAATAATTTTTAATTTATCTTTTTCAAAATTGCTTTTTTTCAACTTATTTCACTTTTTTATTTACTTATATATCTTTACGTGCGCGTGTATGTGTGTGTGTTCGGATACAAATTTTCGTCCACGATTTCGGGAACACGGATGAAGCGATTTGAATAATTAAAAAAAACATTCGATTCGTATTGATAAGGAGACGTGCTGATTAGTTTTTGGCGAAGGCAGGTCTAGCCGTTCCAAAGATATGGGGCAAAAAATGGTAACTTCAACTCAAACGGTTAACTGGCGGTCAAAAATGATCTTACGCGCTTCGATATTTCGTCTCTATGCAGTTAAAGCAGTACGATTGCTTTGAAAAGTGTTCTGAATTTCCAAGATATTTCAAAATAAATTTTTCTTTAAAAATTCTTTTTTTTTTTCAAAAAAAGTAAATATGTGTCAAAAATTTATAGTTCCTCAAAAATCTAATTTTTTCAGAGTATATATTTTTCAAAAATATTAATCTTTTTTAAAAAAAATAATTTTTGGTACAAGAAGATTATACATAATTTGCCCTATACTTTCAAATAGCTTTTTTAGTGGTGGACTTTTTTACCCGTGGATCACTACTCTATGCTAAATTGTTAAGTTATTCCATTCCTTCATAACCTATTTTTTAATAATGCAAATTACAAAATCTGAAAATAATTATCAACAAACAAATTTAATTATACACAACCGAGTGTGTGTATATAATATAATATAGGTGTGGCCATCCGTCGGCTGTGTTTGCCGGAAAAGAGGGTCGCGTAGGCCGGCGCATTGATTATCGCGGCTCCGCCTTTTCATGCGTGAACAATCGCAATATTTATAAATCCCCGTAGAGACATTGCGAAAACGTACATAACTAAGCGGCGATCTCAAAATCCGGGATATTTTATTACATGTACGATGGGTAGTGAGTGTGGGCTGCTAATTTTGCTGTTTGAGAATGATTAGAATTTACAAAGCAAATTATAGAAATTGAAATTGGTGCTTAGTCAGAATTATTTAGTTAAATGTTTGTTTTTGTACTTGTATATGTACTTCAATGTGCATGTTTATATATCAATATACATACACACACGCACGTATGTGTATATGAATATAAACTAGTGCTGGATGACATTGTGCCTTAAGTTAAATTGCTGGAACTTTCCGTACTGTAATTAAACATTTGATGAATTAAAATAATCAATAAAAATTTAACTAAGTAATAATAATTGTTTTAAATATTTTCAAATAATTCTTATAAATACTGTAAATTTTATAGAAATACTATAAGTGCTTATATTTGGGCAACGACCTCTATCTACGTTTATCTACAAGAACGAAAACACAATAAACTGGTGCTGTATGGCATCGAGCCTTAAGGCAAATTGCTACAACTTCCAGTACCGAAAATTTAAATTTTTCAAAAAAACAAAATTTTTTGAAAACGTATCTTCGAAACGGCTGGACCTGTCTTGTCCAAAAACTAATTAGCACGTCTTCTTATTAATAGGAATCGAATGTTTTTTTAATATATTCTTGAAATCGTCGACGAAAATATGTATCCGCACACACACAAACATCCATTTTTTCTAAGGTATGCCATAATGTTCATAAACCTTTGAAACGTAAAGATTATAAATATTTTCATTTTTGTTTTTGCGAATACTATAACTTACCCTACGGGAAGTTAACAAAAACTAATCGGAGTGCATCATACTTACAATGCTTCCGAAAACCTTATCTTGCATTTCTCATTTTTATTATATAAACATTTTGAAACAGAGTTGCTTTCAAATGTCTTAGGAAACTTTGTATATTCATATAAATAGTAATAAAACTCGATATTCCTGTTCGATATAGAAAAAAATACTTTTATTGTTCAAAAACTAATCAACTATATGCTTTTGAATCACTCTAATCGGGTGCGCTGTTCTCTAAAAAAGCAACTTTTCATGCACTTCCTTCCGTGTTTTCGAAACCGCTGGACCTGCCTTTGCAAACATGTAAATAATTATTCAGTCAAACAATGCAAATCGAATGTTTTTTGAATCATTCTAATCGGATGACCCATTCTCTGAAAAACTTGTATTTTTTGCACTTTGTGCTCCGCATCTTCCAAACGCCTGGACCTGCCTTTTCTAAAGATAAATCAATACGAATCGAATGTTTTTTTAAATTATGTATTTAAATCGGTTGATCCGTGCGTTATGAAACGAGTACTTGTAATTACAGAGTACAATTAATACAGAAGATTGAATAGACGTATTTTTTACTTATGATTTTTAGCCGGTCAAATAGGCCAACAGACAGTCTTTAATAACTTTTATATTCGCAAATCAGTAAATAAGCTTAAAAAATTGCTCATCGTTTCAAAATATATTTTACTTTCAGAAGCACTAGGCATTGTCGTCGACTGT